TTCTTAAGCAACATGGGGTTGCGGCTGATACGTACCGTCGGAGATTCAATCCTTGGCAAGTTCAACTCGTTGATCAAGGGATCATAGAATATAGAAGATCAGAAAGATCGACCGGTTCAATCTGACTGAGTGTTTGAATCAGTGCTTGAGATTTCTTGTCTTTACAATCCTTGGTGAAGTGTCCTTTTCTGTGAGAAATGTAACATCTGTTAGTGGTTTTTCCTCGTCGTGATTTCTTCCTCATGAATTTCCACTTCTTCCTTCGAGAGAACAACTTTCTCCCTTTGAAGAAGTTATGGGTTGATCTTCTGAACTTCTTGAAATGAGACTTCTTCCCTTTATGAGAACAATCACAATTGGATTTGTCTTTGCATTTTATTTGGAGGTATCCTTCATCACAGGCTACTCCAAGTCGCTTACCCGTTTTTTCAATGTCTATCAAAAATCATTTTTTTGTTGTAGAGTTTGGTGAGGGCGTTGAGTATCAACGATAAAGCCCACCAAGTGAGGTTTGTTTGACTGAGATGTTTTTCGATTCTAGAAACCTGTTTACCTCATTTGCAAGGGACTCCGAGAAGAAGTTTATGAAGACTAGTTTGAGATTCGTATCATCGACACCATTAAGGCAATAGAACCATTTTGACATTCGATCAAAATGTCTTTTTAAGGTCTTTTTTCATGAACAAGCAGCACTTCATTTTCAAGAAATCATCTCTTGTTGGGTTGTGTGCTCGACAGGGTTGCCGATGAGTTCAGTATAGATTATATGCATGAACCCTTCAGAAGAACGTGATTGTTGGATCTGGATCTATCTGTATTCCCCAAGGCTCATGTACCAATCTCAAAGGCGGCCTTGAGTTCTGGTTAGGAATCTCTTGATGACTATGTCAATGTCATAGAATTGAAGTTCAGTTGAACACCAATTTAACATTTCTATGCTTCTATGTCGCTATTGGGGCGGTGGGATATCATCAAAGGTGAATTGTAGTTTAGAGTCACCTTTTGGAGTCTTTGCTCTTCTGGGTGGTGTCGTCCTGGAGCGGCATTTTCTGGGCCATAATCACTATCCCAATCATTTCGTACAGTGGATTCTGGTTCCATCATCAACAGATGTTCAAAGGCTTCAGCGGGATCAAAGGCATCTTCTTCATGCGGTACAGGGTTGATAATTGGGGAAACAACAATGGAATCTGATTGGGTTAATGATTTGCAAAAATGGGGTTTGGTTGATCTATTGAGAAAACATTTGGGGGCTTCAATGAGGCCGTCATTGAAGTATCATCAGGCATAGGCTATGTGGTCGAGGCTACCACTGTCCTACCTGGAGCTTGAGATGATCCAACGAAGAATCGAGAGGCTTTGGCCTTCAGTTTTTGTTTTTTCGAGGACCATAACGATAGGGATGGGGAGTTTTGTCGAGGTGGTGGTGGAGGTAGTGGTTGTGGGTCAAAAGATGTTCTGACAAACAGTGTCGAGGGTAATCTCCATGGATCATCAAAGGAAGTTGATATCCTTTGTTGTTTGTGCTGTCTTTCAAGATCAACAAGTTGGTTTTTAGGAAACTTCATTTCTGCTTCCTTTTGGACGAGAGTGGTTGATGGTTGGGAAGAAGGAATAGCACAAACTAATTGGAGTAGTTCATTATGAAGCTCTTGCATCTTGATTTTGATCTCGTTGATCATTCCCTCAAGAGATTGAACTCTTGTAGTGAGGGTTTCCTGTGTCTTCATGGACTTCGTTTCTTGAGCTAGGATCTTTCTCAAGACTTGGTTCTGAGCGATAACATTTTCACTTTGCCAGTTGAGGGTGGCTTCAGCGGTAGCGACGGAACCAGAGATCCCTATACCGCTTATGGTTATGGGTGATTTTATCTTCCACTCATGCTTGGTTCGTTGTTGAGTATTTTCAAAAGGACTTAGTGGGGGAAACTCAGCCTGATATTCAGATGATGATGACGTTGTTGGGGTAATGACACAGCATTCTTTCTGGGCTCGCTTCTGGGGACTATTACGGAGTGGGTTATAACAAGCCTCATGAGTTGTGATTGGAGATTTTCCATAGAAAGCATAATAGTCGAACTTTCCTGATAGTTCACCAAGAAGTCCTACCGTAGGATCTCCTGCTTCATATCTCTTTTTAAGATTGTGTTGAGACCCCTTCTTTTTTGGAATGTCCTCATCATACTCAACTTGGTACGCTTCATCTAGGCACTCTTGACAATGGCAGACATCATAACAGCAATGTCTTATTGGCTTTGAGGGTTGAACTGGCTCAACCATGTGGATTGTAGGGAAGATGTTGGGTTTTTTTCTAGGAAGAGAATTTGACTTCTACAAGTCAGTTTTCATGTCGAATGAAGCCTGGGGTCGTGGTAGTTCGTACTGGTGCTTGTGGATCTTCTCGTAGTTAGTTATCCATTTTTCTGGGAGTAGCTTGAGTAACTCCTTTTTAGACAACTGTCTGAGGACGCAAGTACATGTGGGTGTTGCACTTGAGTTGATATCTATGCGCATCTCCAACATGTTCCTGATCTAGTACCATGATGTCTAGAGCATGATTTTGTACTCGGTACGCCATCTGGTAATGAAATCTTGCCTGGAAGGTGTTTACTTGGGGAGTACCACCAATCTGGATTTAGGCCATAAGCGCCGTATGTCAAGAAGGATCATTGAGTGGCATGTTGAAGTTTGGATAAAGAGTGACAAAGATGGTTCAAGCAGTTAAAGTAGTTTAGACTTACCTATGCAAGCATGCTAGTACTCTACAAACCTTGTGTCTACTAGAGCAATGCGTGAAAATGCAGGGAGACCTTTCCTACCATGGAAGGTAAGGGCCAGTCTGATAGCTCCAAAGTGGATATGTGTGTATCCTTAAGCCATGCAGTGTTTGGGAAGGTCTGTTGGAAGGGACAGTGTCACTAAGTGTTCTAATGTGGTAGCTGGGAGTTGGTGGGAGTCAAATTTAGAAGCTTAAACAAACTCCTTAACTTGCTCGTGAGAGGTGGATCCTATCAACTTTTTGACCCTTTTTGAAAAAGAAATATTGGGCTTAGAAAATACATTATAAGGATTAACTAAAGGCATACTAGTAATAGATATTCTAGAATCACCTGGGACATAAGAAATCTCATATAATTGGTCTACTTTAGAGGGAGAAGAATGTCTAAAACTAGAAGAAGAACGTGATAAGCTATGGTCTGGATTCATGACTTGGCACTACGTATTCTATCTATCCTGTTGCTGAGACTGGCTGAGACTTCTCTCTACTTCGACTTACGAAATCTACTGACAAGGAAGATGGAAACAAGAAAGTGTCAATCAGCAGAATCTCTGGCTTATATCTTCAATCTCTTCTCTATAGAATGGTTTTCTGATGTGAGAGATCCATGCATAGACGGCAATCACAGAACATACTAATCCAATCAAATAGAAAGATGAAGACGGGTAAAGATTCACAAAGGGCAAGGGCCAGCCTCTGATACCATATGTACCATAATCATCTCTTTATCCTTGAAGATGAAAATGCACTAAAACAGACAAATATGCCTAAATGCAGCACTAGGAGTAGACTGTACCTAGGAAAAAGAAGACTTTAGAGAAGGGAAAGTTCATGTCACTGAAATGGACTCTAGACGAGGCTTGCCGAGAATATAAAGACTGAACCCAACCATGAGGCTGTCAGGCATATTTCTAAAACAAATACAATCAGAACAAAATGGTGCTCATGAAATAATGTCAGCAGTCCATGCCAGTACTACAGGACATTTTAGTGTTCCAACACATGAGCTGATCCGAAGCAGAAGTTGGCCTGGGCATCAACCATGAAGTTAATCAGGAGCAGAAAACAGGTGCAAGTCAACCTGAGAGCATGACTGACAGGGTATGACAGGAATGCGAAGGCCTTACTCAGCCACCAGGGATGTTGGTCACAAAATCAGGTGAAGGGCTGGCAACCTCTGTACAGAGTCTGACTAAGAAAATCAGGTTAAAGTGAGGCAAGAACCTTCCCTGGTGGTAGTGAGGCTTGACTGATGCCCAACAGTGCCTCGTGAAACACCTGATTTAAGCACAGGAGCTGTCGTCTCCACAAACACTTATCAGGGTTCTGTCAAACTTCCCTAACTCTCATCAGGGTTCTGTCAAGCTTCCCTAACTCTCATCAGGGTTCTGCAATAGTGGCAAACAGATCTTAGGCGAAAATTTTGTCAGCAGTAAGGTCCATATCAATTCAACCGTGCAACCAGTGTGAAGGACAGGTGGGTTCACACAGACCATTGATTAGCACATATTATTATGCCGAACTTGGCAGGTTGCTACTTTCTAGTAAAAAAAGGGTGGCAAACAGCAACATGTACTGCTGAAGGAGACACAAAAATTTTGGGGGTTAGGGTTTCTATAGTTAAGCCTAAGCTCTTCTATTGTGTAGATACTTAGGGTTTGAGGTAAATAAATATTAGAGTGAATTACATTTTTCATCCCTGTACTTTGATGTTTTTAATGGACCCCGTCCCTATTTTGAAAAACTAACGAGCTGGGTCTATGTGGTTGCATTTTCTTAACGAGTTGAGTCCCTAACGCAACCACAAGGACTCAGCTCGTTCTTTTATGCAGGGAGCAGGACCCTGCTCATTAAAAAACTGCAACCACAATGACCCAACTCGTTACAAAAATGCAACTACAGGGATCCATCCAGCTCTTTACAAAATGCAACCATGCGGGCTCGTTACGTTAATCTGTCGAATTAAGGACGGGATCTGTAAAAAAACCAAACCACAGGAACAAAAAAGGTAATCACTCAAAATATTATTTGAGGGGAAACACTGTATAGATAATCTACACAGGTTGTGCTTGTCGGCCAGATACGTAAAAGGAAATACTGAAACCAACAGAGATATTAATACTACAAATAGTTCACAAAAAAGAGCAATCTGGATATCAATTGCCAAAAAGATGGGTCATACAGAAAGAAAAGACGTGTAGAAGAACCAAGTGATTATTAACCTCAAAACATTTTTGCTTTAGGACCCATTCAAAGAGTTCTTTCGTTTCCATAACTCGGTTCCTGCTTTCATCTTCAAATAAGGTTTGATCATACCTGGAAAAATGTTGAGATCATAGATCAATCACATTAATGTTTAGAGCTGTTAAGATCTACCAAATACATATGGTCAGTTAATCTTACTCGCTAATAGCAGCACAAAATATCACAGCTGTAACACCTTCAAATAGATGAATCCACTTTCTTCGCTCATTTCTCTGGCCTCCCACATCAAAAAGTCTATATACCTCACCACTTTTTTTGTTCTCCCCAACAGGGCTGCAAGCAGCCATATTCTTTAAATATTAACAATAAATTTACAGAATCCAGGCAACAAAATGAACCAAAAAATTGCACATGGATAGCACTGCTAACAGCCTAACACCATGCCAGAGGGTAATAATGTTATACATTGCTTTTTAATATTGTTTTGGGAACTCAAGTATCAATTTGATGACCAAGAATATGATTTTGTATGGGCATCTGCATGAGTATTCAAAGATGGTTAAGAATGTTCTATGATTTACTTGCAGATAGGACAAAATGTTTCAATACAAGATTGTCTCGTAACCAACAATATCAAACATGCATATGATACTAATCACAGCTTGATGGTGATATCTATTTGGCAGATATCAGAACCTTGTATCTCAATGAATTTGGAAATTGGAACTGTTAGGCAACTGCTAGAGAGGTTAAAAGTATACCAGTGGGTTTGGGTAAAAGTTCACATGGAACTCCAAATTTGTTCACATGAATCTCAGGAAAATTAGGGAAGAATTTCTAGTTGGTCCTCCAAATAATTAGATCTCCTAAATTTAGGAGTCTGTTTTTTATCTTTAAGGAAAATATACTTTTCTTCCTTTTATAGCAGTCAAGTATTAAGGAGTTGAACATGTCCATTTTTCTCCTCTTCTATATATTGTCGTGCATTCCAATTGAAATGTGCAGAAAGAAACTATGAATAACAATCTCTTCTGGGTTCTTCATTGTAGAAACCACTAGATTTGGGCCAATCATTTCCCTTTATCCATCCTTCCACTCATAATGTCCTTTTCTTCCTCTTATATCAGTCGAGTATTAAGGAGTTGAACCATGTCCATTTTCCTCCTCTTCTATATATTGTCGTGTATTCCTATTCAAAATGTGCAGAAAGAAATTATAAATAACAATCTCTTCTGTGTTCTTCATGGTAGAAAACACTAGATTTAGGCCAATCGTTTCCCTTCTATCCACCTTTCACTCATTTCTAAACAATAACATATCCTTCCCTTGGCCCCTCCCCATCCCCCCTCCATCCTCCGTCTCTCTCTAGTCTTCCGCTTCTCTGACAGTAAACTTCTGGTGTCTGAAACAAGCAGTTTCGTGGGGCTTCATGTAGACAGGAGCCACGGATCATGGAGGATCAAATGGCCCAATTGTCCTCAGCATCTCACATTATTTCAAGTTCACAACTATCTTCACTGGGCCAAAGAGTAACATCAATTGTCTCGTGGAAAGGCAAGGATAACTTTTGAAAAAGAAAGAATTTTGTACTAACCATGTAGAAATACAGTTCTTGTTAAGTCCACCTCAAATCTATACCTTACGCTTTGTCTCCACAAAGATTGAAGTCCTACTTGTTGTGGCCATTTGACATTTTCCATGTTGTGGGTCTCATTTACTTGATATAAGAAGAAATTGAGATGTGACTTGGGGCCCATTAACTTGATGGGAAGAGAAATAAAGATGGGAAGCACAAAATGTAGAATGGCGATTGGAGAAAAATGGTATAAACAAATGGAACCAAATAATTAGAAAAAATTTACAGTTTTAGGATTTCTACATCGGTAGTAACAGGAACCACAAAATGTAGAATGGGGAATAGATATAAATGGTATAAGCAAATGGAAGTAAATAATTAAAAGAAATGGTAAGCGAATGGAACCAAATAATTAGAAAAAGGTATAAACAAGTTTTACCTGAACTGGATTTCTACAACACCGGTAGTACGAACACGGGCATGGAGAACATCCTCCTGCTCATGAAAAAATTGTGAACAAAAAAAGAACACCAAAGAAGAAAATATCTCAACCGAGATCCCCTACTATATTAACAAAATCTTAACAAGGAATGATAAAATGACACAAGCCATTTATCATTTTAACTAGTGATAGTGTTGACTCGTGGGTCTCAATTGGACAACCTTACTGTTGCACTGACCTAAGACTCGCCCTTTATATTGAAACTGCAACTATTAAGGAAAATTGTGAGAAAAATATATTTATTTCCGTTTATATATCCATTAGATATTGAGCTCCCAAGCCAACTCTAAATTAGCAATCCATCTTGAGAATCCTTAAAAAATTGTTTAAAAATAAATTATTAATAACCACAACCTAATTACTAAGTATGAGGTGTCTAATAAGCATTATAATTTATTTTCTTTATTCAATGGCAGACGTCCTAACGGCACATATGAGACAGGTTCAACACCTCACTATAATAGTAACAGCTGCTCAAGTTAAAGACCAATATCTGCTCTCGGTACTGGGAAACAGGTTCTTTGATATAGAGACAAATATGTCAAATTATCTACAATCACCAAGGTGGTATTCTTCACAAGTATCTTATCAGATAGAATAATGGATGTCACAATGAGAGAGTAGCTCATCAGGAGCACATGGTTTATATTTAATTTATGTTCCTTATTGAACAACGAAGGAAAAGCGAGAAGACATCAGTAGTTTTCATTTAGATACCTTTGTAGGAATATAATTTGTATCTGACAATCTCTGCAAGTTTTCCATGAAATAATTGGCACAGTCTGGAACTTGGAGTTCATTTCCACGGGCATATGTTTCCTGCATGGAATAGACACGCTAAAAAACTTGACATGTACCTTTATAATGAGTATTAGAATTATCCTAGATTTGAAAAATTACCAAAACAAAAGTAAAAAAGTTTCTAAATATTTATCTGCATGCCAAGTAACTAGTCAGCTCTAGCAATTCAAATTAATAATCTACCTGTATGGCTGGATCTCTCCAAATCCTTGAGATGTCCTGAACGAGCTCTTCAGTAAGGCGGGGATAGTCCAACCTGCCTCCGATTTCTGATAGTTTCTCTCCAATTTCCTAGTACATGGAAATATTTAGATCTCGTCTAATTCTGAAGTCCAAATGATGGAATAATTGCCATTGATGAAATGTTTCTGTTTACTTTTCCTGATGATACTGCCCAGGGCATAAAGAAATAAATCTATTTAATAAGCTTATAGGAGGGTGGGATCTGAACTCTTGGTGGTATCTCGTTCAAGATTAAACCAAATTTCAAGAGTCATCTCTCAGAAATGCAAGCTTATTTTATTCCTTGCTGTATGTAGTGTTCCATTTTCTCTTTATAGAACTTAACGTCGGACACAAAGAGGAAAATAGAAGATTCCGTCAGTAGTGAGCTCATACTACCTTATTGTCAATGGATAAGCCATACTTTGACGAACCTGCTTCACTTAGAGCCAACTCCTTTGCCCCGTCATGTAATATCTATTGGAACATGAAAAAAATTACAATTAAGACGATGCACGTGGCATTCTCAACATCACAAAGATTCAGGAAAGTTTCAAAGTGTGTTTCAGTTTCTTTCTAGTTTACAATTTGCCAAAGTGGGGCAAAAACAAAGGAAATAACCTAAACACACCCTTTCAAGTATTGCATACTTTTATTGTCTGATAGACATTTGCATGGATGACTGAAGTGTAGCTCTGGAGCTCTCTCTCATCAAAGCCAGTTTGAAAGAGCAGTTTTATCTGCAAAAATAAATGTGTTCTCCACTCTTTAGAAATAGACAATTGTAGATAACAGGTAAAATTTACAGACATATTCACACAATGACGCTACCTGTTTGAAAATAGTAGACTTCCCCGACTCACCAGCACCTAAACAAAATCAATTTCAGTTGATACATCCATGGGAGGATTTAAACCAAAAACACTGAATATGTTACAACCATAATCATTAAAAACCCTCTTTTTGCCATCATTATAGAAACTGGCTATTACATATACACGAGTTCATGATAGCTATAAAGACATCCCATATATACGAGAACAACATTGCATGTAAACCTTTATAGTCAGACATGGTTAACTTGGATAAAAGGCAAGGTTACCACCAGCCACAAGGTAGACATCTGAAACTAGTGAAGCAATGGTTATGTTCTATGAAAGTGAAAACTATTGATTTATCAAGTAACTTGCTACGTCATAAAGTTAGGATTATTTACAGCTTCCCCATTCAGATTCTGCAAAAAGAGATACCTCTTTCACATTGTAGGATCAATAAGGAAAGCAAAAGAGAATTACAAGTCACCTTTACTGAACTGTGCCAACATTGTTCTGGGAATACCATCTTGAAGCTTTATTTGGTAATTAGTAGAGTAGTGCAGATGATGCTCACTCGATGGCACGTCCCAGTCACTCCTCGATTCTCATTTTATTCTTATATTTCTTTGTTTTTCTGCTGCTCTTATTGCAAAATAAATGTCCTTTTACGATATTAATGCAGCTATGATGGTGGTTGATTGTGACACCACATGCAGAAATAGTCTAATGTGTCAAACAATAAGAAAGTGGTGGCAAAAGTGCAAAAGACTTAGTAAGGACACTCCCAGAACAAGTTCTGATGATGAGAGATTAAGCTAACCATCATGTATAGGCTGAAAGTTTGCAAAATAAATGTTTATAAGCACTTTATACGAAGTTATCTAGCAGTTCTGTGAGTACATTCAAAGGCTTCAAGCAAACACATCATTAATACATGCTGATATAGTAGTCTCTTGAAAATTGAGCAATGCCAAACGCATTTTGCCTAACAAGACCACCATGTACCATGGTAGATCATAATAAGCTGTAGAACCATACTACCATGCTAGGTTAGAGGACATGATGTAGAAATGCCTAAAAGATTAAAAGAGACTGAAAATACCGGTTCCCTAGGTCCCCAAGGTGCACCCAGTTCCTAGGCTTTGCAAGGGTTGGGTAGGGTAGCATTTTTACAGTCTATCCACTTGCATCTTGCAAGTAAGCATTTTCCATGACTCAAACCCATAACCTCCCCATCACAATGCTCCCCCAACAATTATGAATTACCCGTTAACCAGAAACAATAGTCTGGCCATCCAGGTATCTGTTCAACAACCGGACTTTTCTTCTTGCAAGTGGTGATATGGACAACAAAGTTGTGTTAGCTGGAACGTTATTTACCTAATCTGGTGAAATACATAAAATCAGAAATGTAAGATATTCCCTAGAGGGAAACCAAGCAACACTGTATAGCACCTGGAGGCAAATAGCATGGCCACAAAAAACAGAGATTTAAAAGTCCCATAGAAAAAACTACATTGCCCTTGTGAGAAACAGGCAATATGTGTAAACCTTTCTACTTAAACAAGATGAAGACTGTAAAATTGTTTTATACCAAGTAGTAGAAGTTTCTGAATATGTTTGTCTGCCTTTGTTTCTTGCTCAATCCGCCTTTCTATTTCTGCAGCCTGATAAAGAAAAGGATCAATGTCAAATGGAAGAAACTGCATAGAACCTATAATTACAGGATGGAAGGGCAAATCTACACACAGAATTGGAATTTTGTTGCACATACCTGAGCATTTTCTTCTGTGTTAGCTTGATTACCACGTTTATGTCTACTGCAGAGTAAGCCCATGTTCTGAACTACAGTATATAGCATGGAATTTTATACTAAACAAGATTCAAAATGCATTTTTCATCAGGAGACACTCTTCGAGTGGTATGCTTTTTAGAATACAGATCTCACCTGAATCCATCACAATGTCCCAAAAACAAGAGGTTAAGTGAAGTTCAATTTCGGTTATATTCCATGATGTAATTGACAAAAAAATCTAATTATGCAAATATATATAGAGGATTTGGTACTTTTACAGGAAATATAGAGCTCGTAATGACACCAATTGCATGCATCATCCAACACGAAACTACCAAGTGCTGAGAAACCAAAAATTTTCTACAAAATACTGTATGCATGCATTGTTTGATCTCCACCTCACAATTTTATATTTATAAAGGAGAGAAGTTACATTCACGATTAGAAAAAAGAGAATGATCAATATGTGAACCGCATTCATTGATTGAATCCAAATTTTGAAATTTTGAATCAGTTATTTTTTTTATCATAATTGTCTTATCGCACTTGTAATTGGCCCATTAAAATGAGGCATGCGCAAACCGAGGTAGTAATATTAAATTCAGCTAATCCAAATTCTGAAATTTGGCATCATTTTGTTTCTTTATCATAAGTGTCGTACTTATAATTTGCCCACTAAAACACGAGGCTCTTGCAAACTGAGTAGCAATATTAAAAGAATCTTTCATTTATACATGTGATCATCTATGAACCCTTTCTTTAAACAAATTCACAAAAGTAGTGGATAGAAATACAAATATTTAAATAAAATATATATGCAAATAGAAAGTAATTCCATGTAAAAACAAATGGATTACACAACACCAAAGAACAGGCATTTCTATTGTACTGAAATTTTCATTAATGAGGTATCATCGTCTAGCAACTCATTACACATACATGGTAGGAACTTGTTATTCTTCTCAAGACCTTACCATATCACTTCTTTTGGTACCCTATATCATGTCGTCTCTAGAATGGATTATCTATTTTCCTCTTATAATAACACAAGTGCTCATGCTTCAATTTGTTCAATGATATTTAGTTATTTACTTCAATTTGGATGTTTAAGTTAATTCCAATTTGCAAAGATATTACAGGACGGAGTGAGTATTATGTTAATAGTTGATAATGGAGTTTATAGTGCTACTTTTGAGAGAGGATATTGGAGATTTGGGAGATCCTTTATTTCCATTAAGCTACATGTAACTTAAAACATAGAGGTAGTTTCCATATAAGTTTTAGGGATGTTAAAAAGTTATTCAAACTTGGGTCTTCAATCTAGTGAGAAGACAGACTAACTACTTGGCGCCACTTAGCGTTAAAATAGATTTTCCATGTCTTACACTTTTACTGTCAGCAATATTGTATTCATAGTAAATATTATTTAGAATCCGTAATTTATATTGTAGATTATTTAGAATCACTAATTTACTATTAGTTTCCTAGAATAGTGAGGCTCTCCTTGTATAAGTCTTTGTACACAGTTGGTTGCAAATCAATCAGAGAGTGAATTATATTCTTACATGGTATCAAAGTTAAAACCCTGATAATCTTTGAAGCCGCCAGCCTCTAACTCTAATCCCTCTCGATATCCTCTTCTCTTCTTCCATGGCTGACGCTAAATACCCTGCTCTTGCGGTCACTAACATCAAGAACGCCATTCCTATTGTTCTTGAGAGTTGAGATGGAGAAAGGACAATACACATCATGGGCCGAGTTGTTCAAGATCCACTACCGTGTCCACCAAGTTCTCTACCACATCATTCCCGAAACCACCACAGATTCGAAAACATCGGTTAACAAAGCAAAAGCACCCGAAGTCGACAAAGCACTCTGGTCACATTTGGGCGCCACCGTTCTCCAATGGATTTACGGTACCATTTCGAATGACCTCCTCCATACAATCATCGAGCCAGACTCCACGGCTCATAAGGCTTGGGAGAACCTGAAAAAGATTTTTCAGGACAACAAAAACTCTCGAGCCGTTCTTTTGGAAAATCAATTTTCCAACATCCGACTAGATGACTTTTCAAATGTCTCTGATTACTGTCAAGAGTTAAAGATGATTGTCAATCAACTCGCTAATGTTGGCTCCCCAGTCGGTAATCACCGCCTCGTCCTTCAATTAGTTGTTGGACTCGATGAAAACTATGACAGTGTAGCCACCAACATCCAACAATCTAATCCTTTTCCTCCTTTCTATGAGGCCTGATCTCGTCTTGTTCTTGAAGAAACCCGGAAGACCAAGCAAGCCTCCATGGCCGCCAATGCCACCTTCTTGGCCCCTTCTATCGACTAGGGGTGTAAACGATACGAGACAACTCGCGAGCTACTCGAGATCGACTCGGTCAACACTCGAATCGAATAGGCTCGGCTCGACTCGACATATTAACGAGTCAAGTCAAGCTACCCAATACTCGACTAGAAAAGCTCGTGAGATACTCGATTATTTTATGTATAATTAGTTTTAAAAATATAATCAGTTTTTATGATAAAATTTGTAAAATATAAATAATAAAAATGTCTTATATTTTAGATATTTAAACAAAATTATGCATTTTTTAATTATAAAAATCAATCAGTTATTTTTTATTAAAATCACGATTAGAAAAAGACAAAGAAAAACTATAAAAAGGGCTAGTGAAATTGTCCCACATTGGAAAAGAGATGGTAAAGGAAGGAAGAAAAGATGTTATAAAAAGAGAGGGAGGTGAATGAAATTTTTAACTTTGTCTTTTTGATAATGAAGTTTGAAGTTGATCCCTTTAGTTTGATAAAAACTAAGAGAACACCTTTAAGTTTAAAATTTATAAGAGAAAGACCCTAAAATTTCATAAATTTCAATGGGTGAGCTTGATTCGAGTTTGAGTTCGAGTTCAAGCTTGATTTGAGTTGCAGTTCGAGCTTGTTTCGAGCTTGTTTCGAGCTTGATTCGAGCTTAGTTTGAGCTTGATTCGAGTTCGAGCTTGAGAAATAGTTATCGAGTTCGAGTCGAGCTTTTGATTTTTACTATTCGCGAGTTCTCGAGTCGAGTGCGAGCTTGAAAATTGGGTTTCGAGTTCGAGTCGAGTATAGTGATACTCGAGCTCGACTCGCATCACTTACACCCCTACTATCGACGCGCCACTTCCTTCCCACAACTTCAAAAAAAGTGGACGCGGTGGCCATGTTTCCTCTCATGGCGAGGGACACGGCAATGGGAGGAACGAACGTGGAAGGGGTAGCGGTCGTGGATGAACACGTGGGGGACGAGGAGGAACATCAACCGGACCTGGAAACAACAATCAACAGCCGCGACCTTTCGCCGCACCTAACTCCGGTCCGTGTTCCTACCCACCATGGTTCGGCTGGAATCAAGGGTGGGGTTACCCACCTTGCCCCTATCCGACAGCAAACTGGCAACTCCCCCAAGCCTCACACGGATCAAAACCGCACCCTGGAGTTCTCGGTCCATAACCACAACCACAGGCATATAATGTCCAAGCCCAATCCGAGCCCCAACCCGAATCCGAGTGTCAACCCACAGACATTGAAGCGGCGTTCCACACGATGACTCTCAATCAACCGGATAACAATTGGTATATGGACACTAGGGCAACATCTCATATGACCACCAACTCAGGTACACTCGCATCTTAAAATAATTGACACAGTTTTCGTAACATTATTGTCGGTAGTGGTCAACACATTCCTATTTGCGGTTACGGACACACTAAAACTCACTCCACCCAATCCACCACTACACCTAAATAAAGTCTTACATGTTCCTCACCTTATTAAAAATCTTATATTCGTTCGTCGTTTCACAACCAACAACGATGTCTATTGAGTTTGATCCGTTTAGGTTTTCTAGTAAAGGATATTCCGACAGGGAAGGCTATAATGAGATGTGAAAGCCAAGGTGACTTATACCCTCTCACAAGCGTCTCTTCGTCAACAAAGTCCAGCGCAAGCACTCCGTCTGCATTCAACACAATCTCTCTGAACCTTCCTTTGGCATGCTCCATTAGGACATCCCGGAGCATCTATCTTAAAGTTTCTTTGTAATAATAATAGTATTTCGTGTAATCGAACATCATCTTTATCTTTTTGTCAATCATGTGTTTTGGGCAAACAAGTTAAATTAACTTTCTTTGATACCATTTCTTATACATCTTTACCTTTTGATATTTTCCATAGTGATGTTTGGACCTCCCCTACCCCGAGTTCCGTAAAATATAAATATTATATCTTGTTCTTGGATGATTTTTCAAACTTCCTTTGGATTTTTCAAACTTCCTTTGGATTTTTCGATTAGGAGCCAAATCTCAAGTATTCTCTACTTTTCTCTCCTTTACAAATCTCATCTACACTCAATTTGGAGCTAAAATTAAAACACTCCAATGCGATAATGGCACATAATATAAAAACTCTTCTTTTCACAATTTTTGTTCACAAAACGAAATGACATTTCGATTCTCGTGCCCCCATACATCTTCTCAAAACGGGAAGGTCGAGCAAAAAATTCGCACTGACAACCTCATTCGCACCCTTCTCACCCACTCCTCTACCCCTCCCCAAATTTTGGCATCACGCTCTTGAAATGGCCACTTACTCAACATTCTTCCATCTAAAACTACTCTCTCATACTACCTCGACACATGTCCTCTACAACCAACACCCCTCTTATTCTCATCTTCGTCCCTTCGATTGTTTATGTTACCCCCTCTTCCCTCCTCACAAATCACTAAACTCCAAGCATGCTCCAAACCATGCATTTTCTTCGGCTACCCCTCCGCTCATCGTGGCTACAAATGTTACGACCCTACAAATGGCAAAATTATCATCTCTCGTCATGTTAAATTTAACGAGTCCATTTTTCCCTTCACTCATCTTCATTCTCCTATTTCCTCTTGCTCCTTTCTTGACACCAACCCGTCACCTTTGCTTTCCTCTCTCTACAACCCACCAACTCCAACCAACCCCTCCCCCCTTCCACTCCTCTGTCTATGCCACCCAGTCCCCCTCCCTCACACACTCAAACTCCCTCTACTCAAATCCCTCTCTCACCCATGGCCCCCACTGAGACCACCACCACCCCACCTGTGACCATAGCCCCGCCCCTCATCAATACCCTCCCAAACCGTCCCTCCACCCAACGCTCCTACTGTCTCATCCACCTCACCAACTCAACCTCCCATAACTGTTTCCAATCACCATATGACTACCCGGGCGAAAGCCGGCACATTTAAACCCAAACAACTCTTTAACCTCTCATCCCTTGTGCAACCCTCACCCATACCAAAAAATCCCAAACTCGTCCTATCCAATCCAAATTGGAAAGCCGCAATGTGTGACGAATTTACTGCGCTAATTGACAATAAGACGTGGGAATTAGTTCCTCGTCCATCCGTACTAATATTATTCGCTCTATGTGGATTTTTCGTCACAAATACAACTCCGATGGATCTTTTGAGCGGCACAAGGCCCGTCTTGTTGGCGATGGCAGGTCCAGGTAGGCATAGACTGTGATGAAACTTTCAAACGCATGGTTAAACCTGCCACAATTCAGTCAGTTCTCAGTCTTGCTTTATCTAAGACATGGTCAATTCACCAGCTTGATGTGAAAAAATCTTTTTTCCACGGTAAGTTAAACGAAACTATTTGCATGCACTAACCAATGTGGCTTTTGCGATCCACACCATCCCGACTATGTATGACTATTGAAGAAATCTTTATACGGCCTTAAGCAGGCTCCATGGGCATGATACCAAAGGTTTGTTGATCATGTCTCAACCCTCAGTTTTTCTCACATTAAATGTGATCACTCGCTTTTTATATATTGTCAAGGGAACGACATCGCTTATCTCTTATTATATGTTGATGATATCATTCTCACCACATCTAGTGACCATCTCCGCTCCACCATTATGCGCTCCCTTAGCTTTTGCAATGAAAGACGTCAGACCCTTAGTTATATTCTTGGTATTGCCGTTACTCGCCATAAAGATTGCATCTTTCTATCCCAACGGAAATACGCAGAGGAAATAATAGAACGAGCAGATATGTCTTCTTGCTCACCATGCGCTACGGTTGACACCAAGGCCAAAGTCCGGTCCGATTCCGGACCCTGAATCAATGACCCAACTCGTTACCATAGTCTTGTCAGGGCCCTACAATACCTCACCTTTTCACGACCGGATATATCATACGTTGTTCAACAAATATTCTTCCACATTCATGATCCACAAGATGAACATGAGTGCGCTAAAGCACATCATCCGATATATTCAAGGGACTCTCAACTTGGATTTACACTTTTACAAATCATCTTTTGACTCCCTGAGTTCTTACATCGACGCTGATTGGGGAGGATGTCCTGACACCCGCCGATCCACATCCGGTTACTGTGTCTTCCTTGGCGATAACCTTATCTCATGGTCTTCTAAACATCAACCCACCTTATCCCGTTTAAGTGCAGAGGCAGAATATCGAGGAGTTGGAAACGTCGTTTCGGAATCTTGCCGAATTCGGAATTTACTGTTAGAGCTGCATTATCCCATTCGCAAAACCACTCTAGTCTATTGTGACAATGTAAGTGCCATATACTTATCTAGCAATCCCATGCAACATCAAAGAACTAAACATATCAAGATGGACTTTCATTTTGTCCGAGAAAAAGTTTCCCGTGAGAAGTGCGTGTACTACATGTCCCATCCAGATACCAAATAGCCGATATATTTACCAAAGGGCTTCTACGCATCCTGTTTGATGACTTTCGCACCAGTCTCAGCGTACGAGAACCTCCTGCTTCCACTGCGGGGGTATGTTAGCAATATTGTATTTATAGTAAATATTATTTAGAATCACTGATTTATTGTTAGTTCCCTAGAATAGTAAGGCTCTCCATGTATAAATTCTTGTACACAGTTGCTTGCAAATCAATCAGAGAGAGAATTACATTCTTACACTTACTTATACTTCCTTATCAATATATGAAAATTTTACTTCAAGACAGGTGGCAAGTGGTGATAGCATGTGAAGATAAAGATGCATGTGAAGATAAGTGGTGATAGCATGTGAAAATTTTACTCCATTGTTCTCGGATCATGAAGGTAGCCGATATTGACATGAGGAGAAGTAGCTAAGAGATATTTACACGAGTGGATTATACAAACGGAGTTGGTCATAGATAGGAGTACATCAAAGGATATCACTCATCTAACCAAGCCTTGAGACTATAAAGGGTTCACATCTTTATGTTTATTGTAGGAATTCAACTACAGTTGTTGTCCATCCAAAAGAATTGGCAACTTTACATCCACACACAAACTGATAATAAAATAGTTTCCAGGTAGATAGATATGCATATATAGGCATCAAATTCACGTAAATATCGTATATCACATTGAACCGTAGGCGCTTTTGCAATTCACCCTAGGAAGATAGGTAATTTAAGTTTTAAGAAAATCCTTGAAGAAAAAACTATGTGATTCTTGACAAAAGGAGGGTGAAGTTTCTCCATATAAATTCACGTAATGCACTTGATTGCTCCTGTTGCACTAAATTAAGAAACCAATGAACTTATTTTTCCTAACATTCAGAAATGAAAAAAGGTAAGAAAAAGGTACTTCAAATCAAGTAATCACCAGGGGTTATATTGCAGCGCTAAAAATGGGCTCTTAGATTGGGAAAACGGAAGCAATTAATCAAAGGAACTTGCTTTAAATGAAAAGAGACGGCAACTACAAACAAGCAGACACGCTAAAGAAGGATATCAAAACCCCAGAAATTAACATCCGTATGAAGAACAATGCCAATGAGTAGCAAACCACACTCTTAGAAATACATTTAAATGCCATAATCACACCAACAAACACAACAATTTGCCTTCAGATATCATCAACTAAAACCGATGCTTCAATTCAAATGCAGAACCAATAGTCGCCAAATAAAACCAAACTTTAACATGCTTCATAAAACTCGATTTGTACACATAATCATGCTGTCCATAGATGTAGCTAGCAAGCAAAGATGCTAACCAAGGTGAGGTTGTAGGATCCACCGGAAGATACAAGAGAGACGAGCTTTCACAGTGATCTGTTCTCGAGACGGAGAGGGAGAGGGTTGGAAATCGAGCAATAGTAGATGAAATCGAGAGGAAACAAACGACAGTAGATCAAAACAAAGATGAAATCGAGCAGGAAAGTAAGAAATACCAGCAATAGAGAGGAGATCGAGAAGGGAATCGAGAGAGCATAAACCACGAGACACCAGCGACGATGAAAGATTTTGAAGGGGCAGTATAGGAATAAAACACCTGCTGAATGATTTGGGCTTGCCTCATCTGCAAACTCGTTCAGACTCTTTTTGACCGCCCCTTAGACTGTAGGTGTATAGTAAAAGTCGCTCAACAAAATTCCAAAGGCTGGCTGAAGCTTGGACTTTTTTTTTTATCAATTAAATAAAAAAATAAAAGGTTAGTAATTAATGTGTTAATTGTATATTATAAATAAATTAAAATAATGAAAAAAAAAGATAAATAAAATAGAAAATTTTTTATTGAACAACTTTTTGGTTCTTCCTTTAAAAAATGTATGTATTGATGTAAATAAAAATAATTATTTGTGTATTCTAATTTCATTTATAACGGAAAAAAATAAGGATGTTTGAAAACTTTTTATTAAACCACATTTTGATTATTATTTTAATATATTTCTAATATTAATATTGATATATTCATTGATCGAGAAGTTTTGATAGATTTTCATATACATACATATATATATATATATATATGGTGAAGGTTCAAACGAGAACACCTGTGATTTACGAGAACGCGAGAACAATCCAATAACCTCAAACTTTTTTAATTAATAAATTAACTTTTATTATATATAAATAATTTAATAAGGGCATTAATGTAATTAAGTAATTTTTATAAATTTTATTTTATTTTAATTAACCATAATTATCCTTTCACGTTTCCACGTTTTACTCTTGTTAGTTTTATTCTTCTCCTTCGTTCATGCTTCTTCTCCTTCGTTCATGCTTCTTCTCGTTCATCATAATCTCCAGATAGTTGATGGCTTAACATCTTTTCTTCATATCGTTAATATCCATATTTTTGTCTATCTAAAACGATTATCACATCCATATCACATGATTATCACACTTATATCACATGATTAGACCAAAATTTTAACTTATCAACCAAAACGATAACCTAAGTGATGTATAATGGTGATTATCACACCCCTATCACATGATTATCACACCCCTATCACATGATTACACCAAAATTTTAACTTATCAACCAAAACGATAACCCAAGTGATGTATAAYGGTGATTATCACACCCCTATCACATGATTATCACACCCATATCATATGATTACACCAAAATTTTAACTTATCAACCAAAACGATAACCCAAGTGATGTATAATGGTGATTATCACACCCCTATCACATGATTATCACACCCATATCACATGATTACACCAAAATTTTAACTTATCAACCAAAACGATAAACCAAGTGATGTATAATGGTGATTATCACACCCCTATTACGTGATTATCACACTCATATCACATGATTATCACACCCCTATCACATGATTATCACACCCATATCACATGATTACACCAAAATTTTAACTTATCAACCAAAACGATAAACCAAGTGATGTATAATGGTGATTATCACACCCCTATTACGTGATTATCACACTCATATCACATGATTATCACACCTAGTATAATCCTAACCTATCGAAGCCATTCGAAATCGTTGACAATGTCTAACATAACCAATTGAAACCATAATGAAATCGAATGACATTGATATCACATGAGTATCACAACTAATCAATTAAAAACTTATTCAAAACGAGTAATTTTGAAAGATACTTTGAATTTGTCCGCTTGTTGCATGCAATGGCTTCTCGATTAGGGTTATTGGTCAATTAGGGTTGCGTCGATCACCGTCGATCAATGTTTGCTTCCGTCGGTTGTTTTGCGATTTGAAGTTATGAGTCTCCTTGAATTCATAACTGTTTACTAGATAATGATAATAATGATCGTGTTTAAAAGATAATGATCGTGTTGTAAATATTTGAGATATCATTTCCATTATTACCCTTTTAATTTTAATTTTTTTTGAATCTTTTTCAATTTCAATTTTAATTTTAAAAATCTTTTAATTTAATTTTTTATCACAATATGTGGTTATTGGGTTGTTCTCGCATTCTCGTAAATCACAGGGGTTCTCGTTTGAACCCTTCCCATATATATATATATATATATATCGATTAATTTTGATAATTTATTTTTTCAATTGTCATGTATCCAAAAATATGCATGTATTAATGTAAATAAAATTATATATATTTTTATATATTTGTGGATTTAAATTTCCTTTATAGAATAATCAAATGGAGTTAAAAAAATTAGAAAAATAAAAGGATTAACAATTAATATGTTGATTGTATATTAAAAAATAAATCAAAATAATGAGAAAAAAGATAAATAAAATAGAAAACTTCTCATTGAACAACTTTTTGGTTCTTCCTTTAATATATATACTAGTTGTATACCCGTGCAATGCGGCGGGAGCCGTGAATTTTAACGATTTTGAACTTTTATTGATTCTATTAACGATGATATAAGTTACACTTGGTCTTTACATATTAATACAGTTTGAATAAATAAGAATTATGGTTCCAATTACAGTCTATCGATGAAAAAATTTGTATGACAGTTTAAAATCAAATATATTCAAAATCCAACATATTTAAACAACTCCACAAATGTGTTCGATTTACATCAAGCGCAAAGAATCTAGAGATCGAGAGCGAGACTGAAAGTTTTAGAGCAATTGAATGGAGATGAATGAAAGATTTTTCATAACTCATGGTGAATATCAGATTGAATCTCACCTTCGGCGATGGGAAGAAGACATAAAGGTGTGAGAGAGTGAAAGGTGTCAAAAGTATCTTGGGAACATGAAAAGAAAAGATAATAATATGTATTGGTAACTTGTACTATATGTTATTTTAATTGTAGATTAGGAGATTTTAAGACTAAATGCATAAAGTAGTAGTATTTAATGCATTATGAGTTGTTTTTGAGACTTTATGTATAAATGTAAAGTACTTTGTGCATTAAAAATTGTTTTTAAGACTTTTGATAAATCTAGTTTATAAGGTAGTATAGATATATATAGAATAATTCTAATATTAATATTGATATATTTATTGATTGAGAAGTTTTGATATATATATATATATATATATACTAGAAGAGTACTCGCGCAATGCAACAATATACATCGTGATTTTAATATTTCATTTTATTCTTTATCTCAGTAGATGTTATAATGGTCTTATGTGATTTTGAAAAAACAACGAT